GCCTCACGCTTCCATTTTATTTCCTATAGCCTTCCTTCCCAAAAGATATTCCTATCCAGGCTGGAGTGGAGTTGTAGCCTATCAGGTCGAAGAAGTAGGCATCTCATTCTATCTCCTCCTAAAAGAATAATGCAATAAACGCCTCTTTTAAAGATCAATAAACTAGGTCTAGGCATTTGCCATAGCCCACTTTCCAACAGGGATCATCATTTTTGTACTGGAATTCAGTCATTTTAATGTAAATGAAATTCATACCCACCATGATGACTCACAAAATGCTTCGTGTATAATGCACAAATAAGATATTACTTCAGGCTGAAAATAGCCAAGAAGTACAGTTGTAAACGAAAATTTACAAATCCAAAAATGGTTGTAATTCAGCTGCTTCCTTTTCCGAGTAAGAGAATCTGGAACAGAAATAAACACATTCTGTCAGTCACATTGAGTGAGTGTTTTCACTCTTTCTTATTCGAAGAATTTTATTTCGAAATTTGTCATTTGCTGGATACTTAGAGTGTATGGTAGCTGGTGAAAGAAATGGGCGAATTGGAAAAAAGAAATTTCTATAACTTTGAAAAAATGTTCCGTAAAATATATCACTACATTGGTCATACAACGAATTGAATCTACAGTAAAGTGGATGAAAATGAGGCTTAATAAGAGTGTGCGTTGATTTTGGATTTAGCAATCTTTTCTGATTACAGACGGCCTTCTCAGACTGTGGCAATAAGAAAGTAGTCTCAATACCTTGGCTTGCTAAGTACTTATTCACGCAAACATACCCTCGCAATTGCTCATCAGATGAACATGGTTTAGGCTTTACACCTCAAGAAGTCCGCCAAGGTCTCAACTGCCTCAACCGCGACTGCAGCATAGGCCTCCGGTGGAAAGATGGCAACAAGCAGTTTCGTGGGCAGGATACTGACCAAAAGGCCACCTCCGGGTTTTCGGCCCACCCTCTTAGCGCCTGTTGGCAGGTTAACTTCGGTACTGGTGGAGGGCTTGTCAACCTGCCCACTCTGAGTATTCGAGAGTGAGGCGGAATCGGAAGAGCCGACCTCAAGACTTTCATTGGTCGGGATAAGTCGAGCATATATCGAGCTTTGGTCGGCTCGCACGCAGGAATACCGGCGTCCGTTCCACCAGAAATGGTGTTGTTCTCGCAGTTCGTCAGGTGATTTGGCAGCCTGTGTGATAATAGTGATCTCTTTTGAAGGTAAACCTTTTGAAAGTACTCTGGGCAGCTTTAGGGGAGATATATATATACATATATATATATATATTGAGAGAGAGAGACAGACAGACAGACAGACA